AAAATACAGCTTTGATCACAGGAATAAATTACATTTTAAAATATAATCAAATAGAAAAGTTATTTTAAATTATATTTCATAATATTACTATTTTCTACTGTTTTTGATCAAATAAATGCAGCTTTGATGAGCATAAGAGACTCCTTTCAGAAGCATTAATAAATCTTACCAACCCCAAACTTTTCAGCAGTATTGTATATTCAGATATATTTTCTTCGAAAACAAGTTTAATATCTTTTGTAGTTTTACTTCTTAAGCAAGTTGACCTTATTTGAAAGATATTTTAAGGGAGTTTAATGACACATACGCCTAATGTAATGTTCTCCTCTTTGTGGATAAGAGCACACACCTGAAACACGGTGCGGTGGTCCTCCAGAACCTGCTCCTCCATCTCCACCAGCTGAGACACCACCTCATGGAAGTTGAAGAGCTGCGGGGACACTTCCTCTTCCTGTGCACAACATCAACACAGCGTCAGGTTTTCATACCAACCCAAACAAGCTGAGGTTTGAGGGTAGAGCTCTTACGTTTTGTTCACAGAGCAGCTTGAGATCGTCTCTCTGAGGAGAGCTGCCCACTCCCCACTGCGCCTCCAGCACGTCCAGCTGACTGACCGAGTGTCCGGTGGACCGCCCCTCCATCACTGCAATGGGGTCAATGCTCAGCTCCTTCACCCTACGGTCACAGACAGCATCTCAATTCATCACGGCCAACATGTAACGGCATTTATGATGCAATAAACCAACAGAAACGGTAAATGTTACATAAACATGTTCATGCAGCATGATAATGACGGACTCCATCTGCTCTATAAGGCACAAGCAAACCAACATGTTAGTGCAGCTGCAACACAAAATCATTAATGAAAACGCAACAAAAACATCCCTGAAATGTACACACAGAACATATAAATTATAAATATATGTCACATGTAAATATTTAATATAATTGATTATACATTTTTAGAATTTTACAAACTATATATAGACTATATCATTTTTTTTTTTTTTTTT